AAACAGTACTCTGACTCTGTTATGTCCATGGTACTGCTCATGTCTATAGGCGACGGTTACCACTTTCCATTAAGTGAGCCTTCAGCTTGTTTGCCATTCTAAGTTGTATAAAAAGAAATTTAGATCTATTCATTTAGATGTTTTTGACCAATAACAAGGATTTAAATAGCGATGTACATAAATCCCACAACAGTTGATTTACATTCTCGAATAATCCTAGCTAGGTTTGTCGTTTCTACCTCTACATAAAGATAATAGGACATGTTTATTTAATCACTAATTCGCAGTCGGCAAGCGTATTCAGGGATTATTTGACACCGTACATTGTAGAGACGATTTCATTTTAAAAATGAAAGTTATGTACTGGATACCTATATACTATTTACTTTTACGTAAAATATTCAGAAGATTAGTCCTTAAAGCTTTTTCCATCAAAACTTTATCAGTTTAAAGCGCGAACAAAGATACGATACGAATGATTTTTGTATTCAGTTCAACAATGTAATTTGAAGGACAATGATCTCCCTCGATGTCGATAGAGATATCGCTGTGCGATAAGAAAGTGAAGTGCTAAGAAAGCAAAACTGTTTGGGATATAGATGAGAGCGGGGTATTAAGAGCTGTTAGGAAATAAGAGCGACGGTTGTAACAATAATATGTTTATTCGTTTATGTATGTTTCGGTTTGAAGAGTGAGATATGGTAGTGAATTTACAGGGTACGGAGAAATAACACCTGAGCCCTTAGGAATGGCTATGCATGGGAGGTATCATGGGCGAAACAGTATACTCTGTTATGTCCATAGTACTGCTCATGTCTATAGGCGACGGCTACCACTTTCCATTAGGTGGGTCGTTAGCTTGTTTGTCATTCTAAGTTGCATAAAAAAATTCATAACCAATACAAATACAAGATGCTAAGGAGCATAACAAATAAAGTGTCTTATTGGTAAGTACTTTCTACGTAACCAAAAGTGTATGCTTAAACTAGGGTTTACATCTATGCTATAGGCATAAGTGCTCTCTTATAACAGCAATCGGTAGATGGTTAATCTTTTGGTTATCTAAAATTGATAAAAAACTAGAACCATTTTTAAAACTGCGGCTCCTATTTAAAATATGAGTGTTAAATAGGATCTCATTTCGCAGAGTATATGGAGCGAATGACGACGACGCAGAAATCTCTCAAAGAAATTTGAGAAATTTCTTTTATTTTACAGAAACGTTCAAATATGTCAAACTCTATTTAAAGTGTAATTATCTGGTACTTAAATGAACAAAATTTATATTTTTAGTTAATAGTTATAATAAATGTAACAAATGTGATTTTTAATAACAACTTTTCTAAGGAGGCTCCTAGTCCCCTACTCTACCCTACAAATCTATAAGCTGATTAGGTAAACGTAGTTTTGTTTTATAGGTACCTACGGTTTATAGATTGTTTTTAAACTATTACTACTTATATATGTATATATGTATATATATATATATATATATATATATATATATATATATATATATATATATATATATATATATATATATATATATATATATACCTATCCCCCGATTTACACGGTACTTGTTTTACACGTTTTCGCTTTTACACAGTTTTCCAAATAAGTTTTTTTTTTGTTTTTATCGCACTACTTAATGCTACTGTGTTTGAACACGTGCGCTGTGTACACATCTCACGAGCCCGAGCTTATGTGCTGACTTGCTGCACATGCACACTGTGTCTGTATTTCTTCGCATAAAATTAAAGTTTTATCTACGGAAAATTGTATTTGAGTGAAAGTTTCACAGTGTCAGAAAGATTTAATTTTTCAGTTTAATGTATTGTAATTAAATAAAAAAAAAACAGTGTTTCCGTAATATATTACATATATAATACATATATAATATATTACATATTTTAACCTGTCAATGCATTTTATTTTTATTTCTGTGTACACCTAAAAATATTGAAAAAAATCACAACTGTTAAATAGCAAAATTATGCATTTTCTGCAAGCTTTTCGATTTACACGGTTTTGACTTGAAAATTTTTAATTTTCGATTTACACGTTTTTCTCAGGAACGTATCTACCGTGTAAATCGGGGGATAGGTGTATATATCTCTAAAAGACAGTCAACAGTATCTTTCAAGTTAGAGTATATAATACATAGCGATTTTTTTACTATTGAAGGGTTCCGGAATTGATCACGATCTCATCTGATGAAAAATGATGATGTGGTCTAAGATGGAGCTCGCGAACCCACGAATAGCTTATAATGGTTTTGAGAACGGACATCGTGACACGAATTCTCATACTAATGTATCGTAATCGATAGTTAGGTTCTCTAATTTGACTTCATTTACTATGTGACTTTTTCTATTCGAACAGAACAAAAGTCTTCTTTTGAGAATAAAGCCACAATTTTTATTTCACTGCCAAACGATGTATAATATTTTTTTAGTATAGGAATGTATATATGTATGTAAGTTTGGGTCTTTGGGGCAACGTGTAGCTTTGAAGGGGTAATGAATTTTAATGAATAGGCTGTCGTTGGGTTCGCCCTAATAGTGAAAGATGAGTGTGCTTGTACTCTTACGAGTACATAACACAATATATATGGGGGTAATAAATACACCATCAAATTTGGTTGAAGATTAAAGCTGTAGAATTTTTGAAAATTAATTACGTCTATATGTTTATAATTTTTTACGAAAAGAGTTTTTTTTAATACAATTTAGAATGGCAAACAAGCTGACGGCCCACCTGATGGAAAGTGGTAATTGTCGCCTATAGACATGAGCAGTACCATGGACATAACAGAGTATACTGTTTCGCCCATGATACCCCCCATGCGTTGCCATTCCTGAGGGCTCAGGTGTTATTCCTTCGTACCCAGTAAATTCACGCCCTTCAAACCGAAACACAGCCATGCAAACACAACTGCTTTACGGTTGAAACATGAATGGGACAGAGGTACCCAAGCAATCGACTTTTGTACAAAGTCTCCCTCTGGTAATTATATAGTATAGTATATTATCTAATTCACAAATCATAATGTTAACCATAAACAACATTTCGATTGACGGTAGCACGCAACTGATTAATTTTTCAAAATGATTTATTTCTCCGCCTTTCAATTTCGAAGGTATTAGAAATGAGTTGTTCTTTAATAAATCTATAAGTATTTATTATAATAAAATGGCAAGGGTCGAAATGTTTCTTGTTCCACATTGTTCTCCATTTAGTTTAGTAATCAGTTAAAAATGTATATCTGTGTATTTGTTATGTTATTATAAGAAGTTATTTTACAATTTATAAATTATAAATTAGTGTAAATTTTATCAGAATTAATCAAATTTAAAAACTGGTGTATGTTTTCATAACAGGTCGTGAGATAAAATTGGATCCCTCCATTATATGAGATTACGTAGAACGCAGAGGTTTTTGTTAATTATATGCTTTGCTAAATGGCGTTTATCACTTTCCATCAAGTGCGCCATGAGCTTGTTTCTTAAGTTGTATAAAAAAAAATGTATATATATTTTTAGTACTTTTAGTTTGTTACGTATATTATAAAGCCATTTCTATGTTTAAAAGAAAATAATCTGCAGGTCTACCATGAAATGAAATTCCGAAACTTCGGGCTTAATTTCGTGTTTTTGTTTATACCAAAATCGGACCAATAAATGGTGTTTAACATTTCGTTCGTCATATATCCTAACATAAAAGTCCAAAGGAGCAATATTTTAACATTTTTAATATTTCCAAACGGCATGTATTATGTAATTTTAACATCAAATTTGTGTATCGTTTGGCTCTGAAATTTCAGAAAACATTTCATGGTAGGCCCTCTGTTCATTTAACATTGCACGTACTACGTTAATATTGTGAGTTACAAATCAGTTGCATTATATATATATATATATATCATTATGAGACTTGTCATACATACATACGAGTATATGAGGTCTTTTATTGTGGAACTATATGTATTATATTATATTATGTTTACGACTGTTTATTGCTATAGAGAAATAGAAAAAAAAGAATGATATGTGTACAAAAAACCCTGTAGTTGGTGATAATATTCAATTACCAGAATGACGACGAGCATACTTGCCCTCTTATTCATAAAAACTAAAATTATTATACCATTTTATCACTTTCTTTCAAATTGCGAATTAAGCGTAAAAAAAGAGATAAAACACTTCTATAGCCAAAATGGTTTAATGGGAAGAAGTTTATTAGAGATAAGCTCGCCTTTGTACATTATGTTTATAATGAATTATGATTAACAGTATGTTTTGTGTACAATAAAGAATAAAAGAATAAAAAGTTTGACGCTATTATGAATAAGAAAGGTCTAGTCAGAAACAATAAGTAGTCAAGTTAAAACCTAACTACGAAATATAGCAACGGAACTCTGTCTGCGTAAAGTAATTGGTTTTGTGCAACCAATCAATCAATCTATAGGAACGCTTCTTTCCATCTAGATTGTACTAATTACTTTGGGTTCGGTCATAATTGAGGCGTGTTTCTATTAAGCTTTGCGCTGATTCGCACAATTAATGAATTCTCCAAATAAACCTAGTTAATCTTGAGGAAATTAGTATAAAACCGGAGTATTTAAATAAATTAAATAATAATTATTAAATTATTATTATTAAATTAAATTGTACATTTTTATTTTTTGTCACAACTAACCATATAATACAAGGGGGATAGGGATTGTTTGAAATGAGATCTAACAGCTCCATTGCTAGCAATGTATCCTATCAGGTCGACCTCCACGCGGTTCCCCCTGTAAACCATTGTGGTTATTTTTCATGGAATTCCTCACTATGGGCTAACTGACCTGCTTTCATCCTCACCAATTCGCTTCTCACTGGTGCCCCGCTAGTGTATACCGATAGCGCAGGCGGGGTTACCGTGCCACTTTCACTTATTATATTTTATTAATTTCATTTAGTTATTTTCATCGCAATCAGTTAAATTATTCTCACCTGCGGCTATAACAGTGATGGCTCCGGTTGGTACGCCCAGCCCCAACTCTGGATTCTGTCTCTCTTCTAACCAGCCCACTGCTCCAACCACCAAACCACCGATTCCGCAAACGATCTGTCCACAAATAAATGAAAATGCTTATACAGTTTTATCCATATTAAAATAATGAATATAAAAGCCACTTTTTCTTCTCTTATCTTTCTCTTAACTTTAAACAAATCGTTATCAAATCCAATGTAAGTGTGGAATCTTTCTTTCTTTCTATTTGAAATGCAACAAGATATATTAAAGAAATATTAAGTAGATAAGTAATTTAGAAATATTGAAATTATTGTCGAATTTTGATTATATAGTGGCCTCTTAGCATTACCTCCTAATTAACCAATCATATGAAAATTGGTATACAGGTACTTTCTATATAGAGTAGAGATGTTTATAGGCTTATAAATTTTATCGCGGTAAACAAATATATTTTAGATATATGGACGAAGCCGCGGGTAAAAGCTACTTATATATAAACTGCAAATTTATGAAAAATAACCATCCCATTTAATTCCCTTAATAACAAACGAGACGCCACGACTATGTAAATTTGATTCGAGTAATTTATTATAAGACTCGGTAGACTTGTTAGCGTAGTGTAACAAAAATGACTGAAAGTTTTTATAAAATATTTTTATTAGACACTGAAAATATTTTGTTTGGTTTTATTCTTTTTTAGAGTACACTGAATTGTAAAATGCAGCTTTTGAGTTCACGGTTCATCAGGCTTAATGACGTTCAAAAATATATTCAAAATATGCCACCTGATTCTTCTTCTTCCGCAATAAATATAATTGGGATCATTGTAAGTAATCTTGAGTATAGGGTTGCCAAATTAAGTTACCAAAAGTTTATAATTATTTCGAAGTTAGAGTTTATGTTTCATTTCTGACATTTATTTATTGAGGGACTTAAGAAATATGTAAATTATACAATATTTTAGGTATTAACAGTTTATTTAATATAACATTATTTAATAAAACAAGTTTATTACGGAACAAAAATTGATAATTATTAAAAAAATTAGCAAATTTCTTTCATGTATTTGAAAAAAAATTGGGATATTATATGTGACTATTGAACATGGGTGGGATACGTTAAATTTAAGATTTGGCAATTAAACTTGAATACGTAAGGGAGGCGACTTCAAATTCCACCGAATTAATTATGCGTTTTGACATAAAATATTAATATTACTTTACTATTTTAATTCCATTAATTTTACATTGTGACAAGTGCACTACTGTTCTTCCATTAGTTTGTGACGTTTCTGTTTATTTGATAATGCGGTAAAATGCACTGCCATTTATTTTCTGAGCGTATATCTCCTTTAAAAATCATTAACTAGAATATTTTTAAAGTTTTCAGGCCACATTTACGTTGAATTCAAAGGTTTTCAGTACAACATCGGAAAAACGAGATTAGTTGTTAGTTGAGCAAACACAACAGTTTCGCTCTGTTGCATTTCTCGACGGATAATTTTATTTAAAAATTAGATGACTAGTAACATTTTATTTAACGAACTTAAAGCACTAAGTTATTTAGTGTTCATGTAAATGTTATTTAGTATTATGTTATTATTATTATTAAAGACCCTGTTGAAATCCCGTCAAAAAACCTGAAAAGGCCGTTTTACTATGCAAATGGCGTCGTGCAATCAGTCGTCCGTTCCTGTTTACGCAGCGTAATTACCCCATATAATAAAGGGATAGGATAGGATAAAGTATCTCCAATTATACTGCGTATCCATTACTTTCGTGTTTATTAGTGCCCCGAGATAGAATAACGGCTCATATTAGCACTGACATATTCCCTAAAAAATAGTTTGCGATAAGTTAAAATTATACAATAAATGACTGAACCTCAAGTACGTAAAAAATATAATCTGTCTATTATATACACACTTTACATCTGTGTACTATAAATATCAAAAACCAGACCTTAAAAATTACTTAAAGATAAAAAAAAATCTTTGAGATCACTGCCAACTATTATTAGATATTATATTTCATTTTATAGATATGTTACCTTATGATACTCTATTTTGTACTAAGCTGTAAGTTTACCTATATTTAAAAAAATAATTCCTTCTACTTCACCTTCACAAGTTAATATCCTACTTAATACGAAAGTAAAAATATAAGCTGCTCATTAGTCATTCAATTGCAGTTGGCTTTGTAATAAATTATGCGGTGGCTCTGCAAATGAAAGAGTTATCGCAAAAGTTGGTAGATTTTATAGCGTTATATGTAAAAAAATATTGTATTGTCTTTGTTAGAGAGATATTAAGTCAGTTTTATTTAGCAGTTTAGGAACATCTTTATTACTACAAAAGGTCGTTTTGAAACAAAAATACAGGTTACGTTTTTTCCTCATGATGCTTCTATAGATGAAAGAATTATTAAAATCAATCAAAACAAAAAATAAGTTTACTGTCTTTATGTTCTTAGTTCTATTATTCTTATTTTAAAATAAGAAACATTTTTACACACGGAAACATAGAAAGGATTTGTTTCGCTTTGAATTAGAAGGATTTTAAGAGTTCTTTTTAGATATATTCTATTATTAACGACATCTTTTACAGAAGGTTACTATTTCTAGGCATTGTGCAAATAAATTTACTTGAATGAGGTTGGCGGAAAAGAGAATATACTTACTTGTATTAAATCCTCACTGAGGCTTCGGGTCAAGATTTACTAAATCATTATTGAGAACGTAATCTTGGTTTCTCACTTCGTATTTTTCTTGTAAGATTATAAAGGTCAATGAGAAACAAAATAAAGTATTCCTTGTTACAGGCGAAATCCGTGAATTGTTTGTTATTTACATGGGAAAATATTTAAAGATGGAAACATTTATCGGTAAGTAGGAAAAGGCTTGTTTGTCGTTTTGAGTCATATAAAAATAATGTGGTAATATCACCAGTTAATATATAATCTACAAATTAGTTGAGTTAATGTAATAAGATGGAGTACGTTCAGCATTTTAATAGGCTACAATTTCATTGATAAATAATAATTTATTCAAAATTTTGCCAAAATAATAATATTGAGAGAATTTTGAATTTTGAACAGACCTTGATAATTTAATAAAAAATATTTTCGGTGTGTATTGCAATTATTACTTCAACAAATTAATCTTAAATTGGCAAACAAAACATATTTTTTTTAGTATTGCGTTAATGGATTGAGAACAGACTACCCATTTCTTGTTCGTTACTAATAGAGCGTGATTTCCTGAAATATACAGAGATTAATGTGCTGATTTGTTCTTGTTCTGGCCAAGTAACGACGATAGATTGGTACTCTGTTATGTTTTTTTTTAATGGATGAAAATAGAATGATAATTCCGTCTGCGCTATCAGTGTAAGCTGGCGGGGCAGTAGTGAGGGATAGGTGAGGATGAAGTAAATAAATTGATCCATTATGATCCATTATGATCATGAAAAATTAACCACGATGGTGTCCAGGGGGAATCACGTAGAGGTCGTCCTGTTAGGGTATAATGTAGTAATCGGCTTGTTAGATTTTATTACTTATAAATCCTTCCCTAAACATTAGACAGTTGCATTAGATTTCAATACACTTGACGAAATAAGGGCATTATTGCAATGTAGACTGTAGGATCATTTGCTGGCGATATTTCAGTCCGAAATAGATGCGAAGGTGACTTGACCTCATTTAAGAAACTATTAATTAAATAAAGATGGAGTTCAATATAAAAAAGAACGAAAACTAGTCCCAATTTAAAATTGTATTCACATAATTTCAAATATATTTGGCTGGTGTTATAAATGTGCATGTCGAGTGTCAGCGTCAAAAGTAAACAAATGCCTCTGATTGTCGCATTAGGCAATATAATACCTATATGTAGTTGTGAGTATATTTATTAATTTACTTTGAGTAAATGTTTCAAGTAAAGAAAGAGTCCGTGGCACGGCAAAAAATGGCGATACTAATAAATTTAAGTACACATATTTGTACTAATGAATAAATAAATAAATAAATTATTAATAACTGTTACTACCATACAAGTACTATTGTATACTCTGCTTTTTAAACAACTTCCATAAGGGCTGATTTTTTTAATATGGGTGATAATGGAATGGTAACCCCGCCTGCGTTATCGATCTACGCTGGCGGGGCACCAGTTATAGATGAAGACGAAAGCAGGTCACTCGGCCCATCGTGAAGAATTCAACAAGAATTAATCACGATGGTTTCCAGGGGAAACCACGTAAAGGTCGACTTGATAGGGTATATTGCTAGCAATTAGGCTATTTTTTTTATGGGTGAAAGTGGAATGGTAACCCCACGTGCGCTAACGGGATACGTTGGCAGAGCACCAGTGAAGGGTGATAGATGGGAATGAAAACAGGCCAGTTAGCCTCATCATCATGATGAATTCATCAGGAATTAACCATGATAGTTTCCAGGGGGAACCGCGGGGAGGTTGACCTGGTTGGGCATATTGCTAGCAATGGGATTCTCAGTCTCCATTACTAATAATCCCTTTCCCCTCATCAATTAGGCTGTTAGAACCCATTACTAACAATCCCTCCCTCTATAAGGACCGTTAGCTTATTTGCATAAAAAAAAAGAAGAAGTTTCCCATTTCATCTACATTTTTGTGTACCACTATACCTTGTTACGTAATGTCATCGTAGACACTAATAACTTTATCCTTTCTGAATGATAACTATCGTGAGTTATACTGTATTTTAATTACTTATGTTGACTTTACGTTTTAAATTCAGGGATGTTCGACTAGTTTCAAGCAACAGCAGAATTTTAACAGTGCTGTTCGCGACACAGCTGTGAACTGCGCACACATTTAAGAGCTCCTATTGAGTTCGAAACTACTACTTATATACTTATTTTTGTAAATGCATACACATTACGTATAGAAAATACACAAACACACATACTCATGGATACAAATGTTTATATTGTGCGGAAAATGAACTCGCGACCGTTGGAAGATGACCGTAGCGGTCATCACCGAGGATGACAATACCAACCTGTAACACTCGAACCCTGAGTGCTATGGCAAACGGGTAAAGCTGTACGCCGCTGGTCAGTTGTCCATCCCCGTCTTCGCATTTGGACGCACCGCTTACAGCGCTGCACACAGAGTGCTTCCGCGACCACATCGCTGACTTTGCGTGGAGCACTGGAAAAATAAATATAACATTGTATTAGCTCGATAAAATATTAATTTGCTACTGAGATTATCAATAGGGGTTTTACATGAACAATGTAATGTAATATAATGTAATGTAAATAGGACTCTATTTTCTTTTTACTTAGCCTCTTATTTGGGCCGTTGTGCGTATGAGTCGTGGCTAGTACAGCCAACCTAGCTCCGCCTAGAAGCACAGAAGCTTCTTGATGAATAAATTTCATATGATCATCTTTTAGCAACAATATATGCATTCATCATCATTTCAGCCATTGACTATCCATTGCCGAACATAAGCCTTCCCTATAAGGAAAAGTTTGCCAGTAGTTGGCACGTTTGGCAGGCGGTTTGGCAACTGCAATTAGGTTTTTAGAGATGTTTTCAGAGGGACGCTGCTGCTCCTTCCTCTACCATTAATTTCTTTTGGTCGCCTCTTACGACGCCAACGGTAAAGGAAGGGGTGGCCTATTCTATGCTATGACCACACGGCTAAAAATGTATCAATAACGGAAAATATTTTTCGACCTCACCCGTATCAACGTCTCCTCGGGTTCTGCGAGCTTAACAAACAAAACACCGTGCTCTTTTGAAGAAACTTACGGTTGAAGTTGAAACAATGGTTGGAAAGAGGGAGACTGTACAAAAGTCGATTGCTTGGGTACCTTTGTCTGTTTTGAATTGTTTTAAATTTATTTTGTTACGTATATGTATTTTATTTATTTCTCAAGTTCATAGTAGTACATAGTACCAAGGTACATGTAATTGATAATGCGCATTAAAGTTCATACAAGTCTCGGGGAGAAAGTTTGATGTTATTTTCGAAAACTAAGAAATTGATATAAAACAACAGTGTATTCTAATCTTTTTCAAGGCGACCCCCTCATCTCCGCGGTTTCTAACCTGAATGTATTTTATTACGTTACAAATATAAAGTACGCATATTTTTATTTATTTTCGCATATTGGTTAAATAAATAAATAATACATAATGAAACATCTAAAACAGACATCGATTACTTTGCGAAACTGTTGTTTTTTTACGGCTTTACAACCTTCCTCGACCCATTAGTAGAGGCTTGGGGACCTCTTAGGGGGTCTCGACCCACACTTTGAAATATACCGATCTAACAGATCGAAGTACGGAATTTCTCTTGATGGTAATGTTAATGACGGGTATTTAATTAATGGAAAGTTTTAAGTCGAGTGCTTTTGCCTGTAACTATTTCAATATACCTTTATCTGACGTACTTATGTGAAATATTATCTGTTATGTAGGTTACCATGGAAACTATCATGTATGTAATCTCTGATCATAGATTAAGTATAGTAATAACAGTACTTCTGTGATATAGAGGTATAACATCTGAATTTTCGTGATTGCCAATTGTTTACATCTATTTTTAATATAGTAATATCATATCTATACATACATATGTATCTAAACATATATATCCAACATATATATGTTTATATCTATACCAGGTGACTAGTTATAGGTTTTTTTTATGGATGATAATTGAATGGTAACCCCGCCTGCGCTAATGGTATACGCTGGCGGGGCACCAGTGAGAGATGATAGATGAGGTTGAAAGCAGGCCAGTCAGCACATCGTAAAGAATTCTACGAGAATTGACCACGATGGTTTCCAGGGGGGATCGCGTGGAGGTCGGCCTGATAGGGTACATTGCTAGCAATGAGGCTGTTAGACCTCATTACTTTCCCCCCAATTATAGGTTTATAATATATTCTTTGTTACTCGAAAGAGTATGAAAACTCATTTTGAATGTTTACGATCACGATCGTTTCCTTAATGCTGAAGTTTATAAATTTAATGACTGGAATATTTAATCAAATTCGGTATTCGAATTTGATTGAAAAATATTGCACAATTGTGTAACATCATCATCATTAACAGATATGATCAGCCTTTAACTATCCACTGCTCAACATAAGCCTTCCCCTTGGTGCGTTTGGTCAGTAGTTGCCATGCTGGGATTGGCAACCGCAGTCGGGCGTTAGAGATGTTTTAAGAGGGACGCTGCTGCCCATCCTTCGCTCTCTCTCAGTCGGCTCTTACGACACCCACGAGAAAGGAAGGGGTGGCCTATTCTGTGCCAGAGTCGCACGACCCCCAATTATGTAACATACTTTATGAACTTTCACATTTATTAAATTGCTATTTGTTAGCTGTTTGTTGGAGGATTTAAGAATTGTACTTGAAATTTATAAGTAGTGCAATAAAAAAGAAATAATACTTAAAATAAAAGCAACAAATATCTAATCAATGACTTCAAAAGAATATGCTTAAAGGCAATAAATGTTTAATCAGTGACTTCAAAAGAATATGCTTAAAGGCAATAAATGTCTAATCAATGACTTCAAAAGAATATGCTTAAAAGCAATAAATGTCTAATCAATGACTTCAAAAGAATATGCTTAAAGGCAATAAATGTCTAATCAATGACTTCAATTTCTTTCTATAAACATAGGTAACATCAGTTTGTTCACTTTAATATGCACGAAGACTATAATTTTATCTAAAAGCTAATTGAAATCGTCAGATAATGTAATGAAGAAAGGTTCGTATTCCATCCAACGGTGTTCTATTAACTTGATTATTGAATAAGAAGGATCGATCTTAATATATTATATTAGCTACGTTATGTAGGTTGTCGAAATGGCCGTAGGTACAAGTATAATCACGTGTACAACATTTTTTTTTATACAACTTAGAATGGCAAACAAGCTGACGGCCCACCTGATGGAAAGTGGTAACCGTCGCCTATAGACATGAGCAGTACCATGGACATAACTGTTTCGCCCATGATACCCCCATGCGTTGCCATTCCTGAGGACTTAGGTATTATTCCTCTGTACCCAGTAAATTCACGCCATATCCCGCCCTTCAAACCGAAACACAGCCATGCAAACACAACTGCTTCACGGTTGAAACACGAATGGGACAGAGGTACCCAAGCAATCGACTTTTGTACAAAGTCTCCCTCTGGAAATATTAATATCATATGTGAAATTTCATATGATACGCCAAATCATACGTCACTCAGCTAACTCGCTTCACAAAGCGTTACAAATCACTGTAAATGAAAAATTCTGATTTTCGCTGCATTTGAATTTATTTGTGAATTATTGTGAAATTGAATTAGATGGCTGACTGGGCTGTACAGAGTGAGGGAATACAGACTTTATTATATTGTACTAAAGTGTCTATTCCATCACTCTTATCGTAAAAATCATAATTCATATTTTACTTTTAACAGCAAATAGTAGCGAGTGCGACATTAAGCCATTGCGAGCGAAAACCAGGTTTATGTGATTTGTTACTAGCAATATCACAATAAAAATAATAATTTTACTAAATAATAATGAATTAAATATAGCTATAATATCCATGCCTATTTCAACGGTATACGAACGGAGATCTAGTACTCTGACCTCAGGCGAGAGAATTTAATAATTTATTTTGTTAATCTCAATTATTCATTCCAGGTACGGTTTTTGTATTTATGATAATATTAAACGTTTTTAATAATGCATATTAATACTCAAATAATTTTTTTAAGCATATTATCAATCACTGCTTTTTATGAAACGTAAAATGTAATAAATAATACATTTATATCATAAAGTTAAGGACAATACCTACTGGCATTCTTTTTGTAACATTTATCATATCAAACAGATCTTGTATATTCCTATTGTTATTCTTCGTTGTTATATATATATAACATACATACATACATATATAACATATATAACATACATAAAAACATACAGTAACAACAATGTTAGCAATCTTCAAGTTAGAGTATTTAATACATAATTTAACCTAACCTAACTCAAAACTATACGTTCCTAAGGTGAATATAATATAATATGAATGATTAAAAATTAACATAATATTTCAATAAATAGTCTGCAATGGCAAATAACGTCATTCTATTATTTTTTGTTTTTTTTTTTAATTTTGGCAAAGGGTTATTATTGTTCACTATACTACAAACACAACTATAACAATATAATAAACAACAAGGAGTGGCGACCGCGTACGGATAAACGCAGTGTAAGATGAGCCCCCCACTAGAAAGCGTGATGACCTGAAATGCATTGCAGGAAGTTAATGATTGCAGGTGGCTTAGGACCGTTCTTTATGGCAGTCTATGGGGGAGGCTTATGTCCAGCAGTAGACGGATAATGGTTGAAATGATGATGCTGATGTTACAAACAAACAGAAAACGAGACGGAATTTTAAAAAGTAACGATAAGTATTTTGATATTCCTTATAGATATTTTATAGTTCTCGGTCATTGATTTAATAGTATAGTGCCGATATATTTAAGCATACAATGTATCTTGACTTATTATTTTATAAATAAAATGAGTATTTACGTATTAAAAGATGCAGAATTTATAAGACAAAATGAATATAGAAGTTATAAAGAAATCTCTCATAACTATTTTTCACGCCAAATTGTATGAAAAAGTTGACCCGTTTTTCTCGAAGCATTTCTATAGAGACACTCTATAGGCGCAGTGCTACCAACCTAAAGTGCGGATAAAGGCAATTCTATTCTTCTTAAATACAGTGAAAAAAGTAATAAAAACTTTGCACGGACTCAAACACTGGATTTTATGATTTCATGAAAATATTATCGTTATTTAAATACCGTATCTTCAGATACTCGTAAATGATACTTTTTTCTGAGAAGAGAAGATGAATGCCATAAAGTTTGTTTCGAAGTGGTTTTATTTTATCATAAATAATAAATAATGTTTGACTTTTTTTTACCAACCATCATTCTAGAGACGAAAGTGATTTATGTAATACAAACGAGTTTGGATTTTTATTCGTTTTAAAAGCAACAACTGAGTTTTTTGCCTGCTCTTTTCGGCAGAAATTATATTCTGAACTGGGCGATAGAATTATAAAAAATGACTATTCAAAATTTTTATAATTGCATTAAATTTACTTGA